TCGTCACGTTGTTGCGACCATTATGAGAACAATTCATAAAACGTACATGAAACTATTTGTACCCTCATTTATAATAACAATTGGACGTTTCATTGCTTATGTAGAATAAACAAATCTATCCATAGATAGCAGGGGCGGCGCGAAGAGGTCAAAGCAGGGGGGGGGTACCTTCGAAAAATCGGAGAAAATCTGAGGAAGAAATGTTCTGGGGGGGGGGTACTTTCGAAAAATGGGAGAAAATGTGAAAAAAATCAAATTTTGAGGTATTGTTGAGCAAAAAAAACGAAAATTTTCAAAAGCAGGAGGGGGGTACCCTCCCCCAACCCCCCCCGCTCGCGCCGCCCCTGATAGATAGAGCAATGTGTCATCATGTTTCATAGCTGCTGTAATATGCACATTGTATGAATGAAAACATGAATTTTTATTAATATCTATAATATACGTGGAACAATAGCATCAAAAAAAAATACAATATTGAATAGGTATGTATATTATTCAAGACGAAAATTTTCTGATCGCACTATAACAATAAATAAAAGGATAGATAAATAAAAAAGATGAAAGAAAAGTTTTTTTGTTGTTTGTTTTCTTGAATTTTCGATCTTATTGTTGCGAGCAGCATCTGAACAGTTATAATCACATCAACTAGATGAGCTCAACAAATCAAAGACAAAAATAATTTCTTTTTGATTTGTTATTATTGATCGATGTCTTTTTCATGATGATAATGAGATCAAGAATTTTCTTCTTAAATAGAATACTCGTATGAGCTGCAGATATATTAGTTGTACACATCAAATATGTTTTATATAATTTTTATTTGAATAAATAATGATAAATATGACAAAAAAAAGAGAAAAGCAAAGAACTACTAACTATATAAGAAGAAAAAAGAAGAGAGGTAGCGAGAATATTAATGAGGAAAGTGATTTAGTGAAAAAAGAAGAGTGGAGAGAACTAGATAATGTTAATTGTTTATTAGTTTTTATAATGAATGATATTGTTCCACTTGTAAACGTATCATAATGCTGTTGTATCATCCATCCTACAAAGAAAGTGAAGCACTTAGCGTAATCCCTACGGGATTAAAATCAACATTAAATCTTTATAACATACGTGATTTAAACATCCTATTCAAATATACTTCTCGCTTCAAAGAAACGATATGGGATCATCTATAAAAGTCGTCTGATAGAAAGTCAGGTTTTTTTGAACTAGCTATTTTCACGTGTCTATTTTTCTAATACCTTCGTTTGTTTAGTTGTAGGATTTTCTCAATGAAGAAGTATAAAAGTTTCTTTATAATACTGATTTATTAGACGTCTTCGCGAAAAATAAATATCGCAAAGCCGAGAAAAACGAAACATATGCCGAGGTAAGAATTGTGTGAAGACCAGGTATACGAGAATAAAGTTTCACCTCAATCGATAATGCATTAGTTGACGAAGGGAAGTCATACGTGCAAATAGATAGAGATCCAGGCCGATGGTTTCGGTGCTTGGATCCGGCAGGAATCAACCAGAAAAGGTCTCCTCTCCGATCGATTCCACCTGGTTCCTGCTTTATTGTTGTCTGAAATGGTCAAAAAAATTTCCTGGAAGATAACAGTACTATTTCGGTCGAAAAACCATCGTACTGGAACAGACATGTTCTAACTAATTCCGCTAACTGTGAGAACAATGGAACTAAACCAGATCCGAACAGGAATATACCGGAATTCGCCCATATCCATGGGAAACCACGCTGGAATCATACCATATAGTGAAGAAAATATCACCGAAATACATCATATCCACAAAAACACCTCAAAAATATTTTTTCCGTTCAACCGCCTCATACGGTCTCACAAATACATTTCCATTAACTATCCGTCAAAAATATTTTTACTGATCTGTTTCTTTTAAAACAGCAATATGAGTCTGAAATCAGTCAAAAAAAGATTCTTAAAGATCTTTTTCTCTTAAAACGAAGATTCGAATTTAAAAAATACCTTGTAAATCAGGTAATTATTGCAAAAAGATCATCAAAGATCTGTTTCTACTAGACTAGCTCTTTAAGTTTCAAGAATATTGTGAGAATAAGATATTTCGTTGAAAGAAGAACATGGTTAAAGGTCTTTTTTGATTACAATATATTTTGAGCAATGAGAATCGCTTGATATGAACTTGTAGCTTCATAGAGGAAGGTTGAAAAGTTTTTGCTTAAACTTCTTATTGTCAGTTTATGATTACTTCTGCGCAATACTTTTGATGGAAAAGTGCTTTCAATGGTTTTTTTTATAAGCAATCTACAAGTTAGAATATTGTTTATGAATCGTTAGATATGTACTCTGAATTTCGATTACCATATTTTCGTTCATCAAAACTGAATTTAGGCGAGAAGCATATCTTGCTTCTCGAAATATTTGTTACACAAGCTTTGTATGTTTATCAAAGCCAAAACGAAACTTACTAACATTAACTGCAAGAACAATCTAAAAGAAATTGAAATTGTAGTCATTTATTCATTTATTTTTCACTTACTTCAGAACTTGACGTTCTTGATGAAAGAGGAGAATCATCGATATTTATGAGATAATTTCTCTAAATTAGATTCAGTATAATTAATTCAATTATAACAAACTAAACAAACCTACCTCTTTCAACACTTTTCTATTTTTAAGAATATGAAATGTTTTTTCAAGAGATTTGAGCCTTTTTTCAACGTTGCACCGAAATGATAAGAATTCTTTTTGAATATTTGAAACTTCAGTAGCAACAATTACATTTGAATTTGCTTGTATTGATGGAGACTAAAGTACAGCATAAGTTTGAAAGAAAAAAATGCTTTACAAATTTCAAAATCCATACAGTTCTTTTTCTTTTCTTTTTCATTGGTTTCACTCGTCACAATATTAAATCATCATCATCACCATATTCAGATATATCATTAACATCTCTATTCACATTAGATGAAATATCTTGAAAAATAAATATATGAATAAGCCAAAAATAAAAAATTAATTACTACTTGTATAGCATTGTTTTTTTGGGTGTTGTGATTTTTAATTAAATATTCATCAATGGCGAATGGTGCAGATGATGAATCATCTAAACAAAAAAGAAATAATTCAATAAGATGATACAGAGATAAGAAATAAGGTCATTGAACGAGTACGTTTTATCAAAAATTTTAGTATTTCAACCAACATGAGTTAAATCGATTATCTTTATTTGACGGACGTCGTGTTATATCATTAAATTTATCTTCTTCAATTTCACCATCGTCATCCGATCTAATACGTTTTTCACCATTTTGATTATGCTTGTATTCACTAGATGAGCTGAAATTTGATGTCGATTCTTTGATATTGTAAGTTGTAATAAAGTCTAAAAAAATAATTTCCAAGCTTTACGTATGAAACAGACTTTTTTAATATACCTGTTACTGATAGTAGATAGTCATTGTCATCTTTACGATAAAATTCTTCATTTGTGTGCATATGGTTATCATCAACCTCTTCATCCTCATTTTGATTCATCAGTTGTATCTCAATTTCCTCACTTCCTGTAGTTCGACTATATTGAGTAGCTCTTTCTTGGCGTTTAGCCCGAGTATATTCGAAGAAAAAAAATAACTATCACCAGTTATGAAAATGTTTAAAAAATATTTTACCTTCAGCAATAATACGAACTGGTTGAATAAAGCCGAATGACTTAATATCTTCATTATTTTCATCGATAGTGTCAATAGTCACTTGGTATTTCGGAATAATAGTATGCTTCTTTTTTCTCAGAAATAAAGCAAGCACATAGGCACTTGGATCGTAGCACAAAGTTGGTTTTCTGATTCGTTTTGTTCCTTCCATAGAATATTTTAAAATCTAAAACAAATTAACTGATGCTGGTAAAAAAATCATGAACTATTACAATGGGATGATAGTACAGAGATATAAACATAAGCTGTTTAGTCATGTTCAAACTCAAAATCGATGCAAGTAAACGAAGAAAGATTTTCTGCACGAGTACGAATTCTTATAACCTTTTTCACAATAGCAGATACGGGCAATGTTTTAAAAAAAGATTTTCTCATCGAAAAACTTAAAATTTGAATCAATGATTTTTTTTCGCAAAAGACACGACAGGTATCTTCAATTCGGACATTAAACTTCGCGTAAGACATGGATAAAGCTTAACAAATGCATAATATTGATTGTTCAATGAGAAACAAAAATAGAATAGATGTGAAGCATGTGTCATCGCTAATGCATGATGCAGATCGAACAAAAACAAAATGACTAATAGAATGACCCCGATGGGAATAACACATAGAATGAAAGCAAACGAAATTATGAGAGTATTGAGAAAAAAAATACTATCAAACTCACTTGCAGACAATGTTTGTAGACAATCTCTAAAATAGTGGTGAATAGATATGTTAAAACTATGAGCAACAAATGAAACAGAACAAGTTTCTTTTAAGAAAATATCAGAAAGTGAAAAAGAACTTGGTTTTTGAGTATTCTGAGATATTTCATACTACGTAACAAATTGATTCAAAACATATGTTTTTCTTTTACATACTGTTAAAGCATAAGCAAGATATGATTCATGAGGAAAACAAGATGTGAAATACAAAGCATCGTGAGAGTTTACTTGAGAAAACAAATGAAAATGATAATGGGTGGTTGCTGATTCAGAACGTTCTGAATACAACTGAGAAAGAGATTTATGATATAAATGAAACAGATAATCAACATCATGTAGCTACTTCTTATCTTTAAAAAAGTAAAGCGTTTTAATGAATGCGTAATACAAAAGAAAATGAGCGGAATAATCATCAGGTAAATAATAAACAACGAAAAAAGGAGAAACATACAAGAAGAAATCGCGTAACATTTTAGCTTTTCAATTAGAAAAATCCAATAAAGAGAGAAATTGATATTTGAATGAATATGGATGAACAACATTCGATAGAAAGATAGAACCGTTTTCAAATACTTCTTTACCAAACGTATTACGTCATAATTTTAATAATGTTTTTACGTGTCCATGATAAATAAGATGCATTGAATCGTATGGAGTTTGATCTGGAATTTGTAATAGAGTCGACAATGGGGAAAGACCTTTTTTTCCTTGAATTGATCGATGAGAAATATGATTATAACTTTTCAAGTAAAATTCATAATTTTTCAGCTTCTCAACTTGTTCAGAAAAATAAAAATAAATTTGTTTACCAATTGCAACTCCTTAATATATAAAAATCAGAAAAATTCTATTAAGAACTACTACATACCTTTTATAAAACAATCTACGCAGCCATGATAGGCATTATATTGTACAATATTCAAAAGATGAGCACTTACTGGTAAATCAAAAATTGTTTGTTGCACACGAACATTATATCAAATATATGAACATAATATGTAATTTTTAGATAATATTCATAGAAAATCAATCTTACCATTTGTTTGTTTCAATAGGATCTTTGAGTTCATAAGTGTTTGTAATTGAATGATTATTGGCACCAGTAAATGATCATGTGGTGGTTTACTTGACCTAAGCCACACACCAAAAAGCATAACTGCTAACTTCCAGTTCCGTAATGGAGCTGGAAGTTCAGCGATTGTCGATTGGATAGACCAAAGAGACTTCCTTAAATGAAAAGAGCGCTGTTGTAAAAATATTGAGATGATACATCGCTTGTTAAATATTTTATTCATTAAGAGTAGAATGAATTAAAAAAATACGACTTGTATTTAGAAAGGTTCACAAACATAGGAATCTTTTAAATTAATTTTATTCTACTCGAATAATCTTATTTCAAAATCAAATTGACATAGTAACAGAGAGTATGAAAAATAATCGACAAAATATTAAAGAAAAATATAAAATAATTTTTTTACCAAGTTGTTCAATGATACTTACTGTTCACACTAACAGCAGATACTCCATCTGTATGTAAAATAATTATAATGTTGCGTTGGTTTTCACTATTAGTTATTTACTGATATATTTGACCTAAAACAGCAAATGACAATTTATTATTCGACAAATTAACGATCATACCATTGATAATATCACACGGAACAAGTTGTTCAGTTTGTTTCGAATAGGCATTAAGTCATGAAAAAGACACACTAAAAATTGAATATCTCCATTATAGCTGAACCAAACGGGCTCATTTTTCCACTAAGGATAGAGGCATGTTCACACTCCAAATTCATACGGACGAGATCAGTGAGAACCTTTGTTAAATACTACTATTGACCTCCAAAAGAAAATTTTACTTGTTCACAGATAGGAAAAGAGAACAATATACTCATCATATGCTCTCATTAATCTTGCTCATACGGATTTGCAGCGTAAATATGTGTCTATCTTTGGTAAGAAAATCAACTCGTTTACTCGAGCCATAGTGGA